GATACTAGAGGGGAATAATTTCCTTAAGGGGACACTGTGAATTCAGTGGACTTGATTTTCTTCCTAAATTATCAAAATAAAATAGTATTCAAGATTCTGGTAAGTTTTACAGATTAAATTATTTTTTACAAATAAATTTCTATTCATCTTATTTTACTGGTTCTAAAAATCTCAGTTACTTCGTGTTTCAGAATAATTTATTACAACCAGTAATTTCTGATTTTCTTAACACAGATTGGCAACAATCTTCAGGAAATTATTTAAATCTGTGTTTCTGGTGGAGACAAAAATCTTGGTGATTTTATACTCCTTTAAGTCTGCAATTATAATTTATTGGTTACTTATATTGTATCAATTTTGTTTATCAGAAATGGAAAACACTGGTGTTACAGTGGCTGTTGCTGCACCAACCCGAACTATTGTATCACAAGCAGAGAAACCGGGTAAATTCACAGGTGTGAATTTCAAAGGATGGCAGCAACGAGTATTTTTCTGGCTTACCACTCTTGGTCTGCAGAAATTTACAAGTGAAGATACTCCAGTACCTGCTGATGATATGCCAGACAGGGAAAAATTTATGATTGTTGAAGCATGGAAACAATCAGACTTCCTATATAAAGGTTACATTTTGAGTGCTTTAGAGGATGACTTATATAATGTCTATAGTTCAATAACAACTTCAAAAGAGTTGTGGAATGCACTTGAGAAGAAATATAAGACAGAAGATGCATGCTTGAAAAAATTTATGGTCGCAAAGTTTTTAGACTATAAAATGGTAGATAGTAAAACTGTTGGATCACAAGTGCAGGAACTTCAACTTATTCTCCATGATATGATTACTGAAAATATGGTAGTAAATGAATCTTTTCAAGTGGCTGCAATGATCGAGAAGTTGCCTCGTTCGTGGAATGATTTCAAGAATTATCTAAAGCACAAGCGTAAAGAAATGAAGCTTGAAGATCTTGTGATTCGTCTCAAGATTGAGGAAGATAACAGAAATGCCGAAAAGAAGCCGCGTAAGAGTTCAACAATCATTGGAGTTAATATTGTTGAGGAAGCTCCTACCAAAGACAAAAAGAGAAAGAAGTCCAATGGGCAGAAGTCAGAACAGGCCAAGAATAAATTCATAGGCAACTGTTATAATTGTGGCAAGGCTGGTCATAGATCTTCTGATTGTCATGCTCCAAGAAAGGACAAAAACAAAGACAAAGGCAAAAGTCAAGCAAACATCGTGGAAAATATGGAAGATGCAGATGACTTGTGTGCAATGATATCAGAGTGTAACTTAGTTGGAAATTCCAAGGAGTGGTTTCTCAACTCAGGTGCTACTAGACATATTTGCTCTGCAAAAGAATCCTTTGAAACGTACACTACTGCTGAGTACGATAAAGATTTATTCATAGGAAACACAGCAACAACAAGGATTGCAGGAACTGGGAAAGTAATGCTGAAAATGACTTCCGGCAAAGTGTTGACTTTAAACAATGTTCTGCATGTCCTTACTATTAGGAAGATTTTAGTTTCTGCTGCACTACTCGTTAAGAACGGGTTTAAGTGTGTCCTAGTTAGTGATAAAGCTGTAATAAGTAAGAATGAAATGTTTATAGGAAAGGGCTACCTCAATGAGGGTCTTTTCAAACTAAATGTAATGGTTATTGACAGTATTAATAAAAATTCTGCTTCTGTTTACTTATTGGAGTTAAGTGATTTATGGCATGCCCGTTTGGGACATGTAAATTACAAAGCCTTGTGAAAATTGGTTAATTTAGAAGTATTGCCTGATTTTAAATGCGATAAGTCGAAATGTGAAATTTGTGTGGAAAGTAAGTTTGTTAAACATCCTTACAAGTCTGTTGAAAGAAATTCTAAAACTTTAGACTTAATTCACACAGATATATGCGATATGAAGTCAACACCATCTCGTGGTGGGAAAAAGTATTTTATAACTTTTATTGATGACTGCACTCGATTTTGTTATGTATATTTGCATAATAGTAAGGATGAAGCAATTGATGCATTTAAGCAATACAAAATGAAGTGGAAAACCAATTGAATCTAAAGATAAAAATGATTCGGAGTGATAGGGGTGGAGAATATGAATCTCCTTTTGCAGAGATATGTTTGGAATATGGTATTATTCATCAAACTACTGCACCTTATACACCACAGTCAAATGGTTTGGCAGAACAGAAGAACAGAACATTAAAGGAAATTATGAATGCCTTAATGATCAATTCTGGTTCACCGCGAAATCTTTGGGGGGAAGCCATCCTTACAGCTAATAAAATACTCAATAGAGTACTCCATCGAAAAACACAATCAATTCCATATGAGTTGTGGAAAGGAAGAAAACTCAACTTGAAATATTTCAAAGTGTGGGGGTGTTTAGCCAAGGTAGAGGTTCCTTTACCTAAGAGGGTTAAAATTGGACCCAAAACAATAGATTGTGTCTTTATTGGATATGCTGTGAATAGTAAAGCCTGTCCATTTTTGGTTCACAAATCTGATAATCCTGAGACTCATGTTAATACGATAATTGAATCAGATAATGCAGAGTTTTTTGAAAACATTTATCCGTATAAAACTGAAAGTGAGTCAACAAGTGAAAGACCTAAACGACCACGAGAAGAATCAATAGAAAATATTCTAACTAGTGAGGAACCTAGGCGAAGTACTCGACAACGAAAATTTGTTTCTTTCGGACCAGATTTTGTAGCACTATTGTTTGAAAATGAGCCTCAAACATTTAAAGCAGCTATGTCTTCGTCAGAGTCAACTTATTGGAAAGAACCAGTCAATAGTGACATTGAATCATTTTTAAGCAATCACACTTGGGAATTGACTGATCTTCCTCCAGGAAATAAACCTTTAGGATCAAAATGGATCTTTAAAAGGAAAATGAAACCTGATGTAACTATTGACAAATATAAGGCTAGACTGGTAGTCAAAGGGTACAGACAAAAGGAAGGTCTGGACTACTTTGACACATACTCTCCAGTAACAAGGATAACATCAATTAGGATGTTAATAGCACTAGCAGAAGTGCATGATCTTAAAATCCACCAAATGGATGTAAAGACAGCCTTCTTAAATGAGAGTTAGAGGAAGAAATTTACATGGAACAACATGAAGGGTTTATAGTTCCTGGTAAAGAAAAGAAAGTGTGCAGACTTGTGAAGTCACTTTATGGACTCAAGCAATCACCCAAACAATGGCATGCTAAATTTGATTTTATTGATGACACTGTCTAGAAGTATCTACTATATAAAAATGAGTATCTGGACAAGACCCACAATGCTTAAAAATCTATTACTAACAACTCATAAAAGTTGAAGTCCTCCGTAAGCGAGATCTCAATTATATGCTAACAAGTGGATGAAAGGATCTCAATGAAACTCTTGTTGAGGATCCTAAGTATCTGAATCTACATCATAAAATGATTCAGGTCGAATGAAACCACTACATTAAATGTACGAGTATGTAATTGGGCTAAATAAAATAAATAAGTAAATTGAAAGACTAAAGGTATGTCAACTAAAAATCAGCTTAGCTTTAAACATAAAAAAGGCAACAATTGAAATGCTGAACTGAAATATATAAATAGAAGTATACTTTATTTACTTGAGAGTTTCTCTAACTGACAATCATGACTAATGTTCCTTATGATGATACAATGTATTATCCACATGACTAGAGCCGCACTATATCATACTAAAGCATAGATACAACTAACTGATGGATTCACTAAAAACCTTCATCAGACAGGTGAGAAATCGCTCGTCTTTGGTACAATGCTATGTATATTGGCTACGTACATTATGGAGTTTTGAGTTTTATTGACTCGTACCCAGAATCATTGCTCAATACTACTCCCCAAATATAACTGTAACATCATGTAGAAGTACTCTCTGAGTTGAGATAATTTCTCAAAAGACATCTTTACGAGGTAATTGAAGTTGTACTAAGTCTTTATAAAATACTCTGAAAACTCTTTATAGTTTTCTAAAAGAGTGCTCTCCTTTTCAATGTACAAATGATACATTCGAAATTACTAAAGTTTTCTTAAACTCTTTTTGAAAATATTACTTTAAACTTTTCTCTTAAACTCAGTTTAGTTTTCAAAATCAATGTAAGAAAATTTAACTGGCTCGAAATACATTTAGTAAAACTAGATATATAGGATTCATGTGGAACTACAATCATGAACAGTAATTTGAAAGTATCAATGCTTAAAGTATCACAATTTCATAATATAGTAATTTAATAAAACTGAGGATAGAACCCTATATTCAACTTCCTACTAACTGAATTATGATATAGGGTGTAAGGACGAACTGGTTCAATACTATGAATAACCTTGCACACTAAATTTCTAATATTAGAAAATATTAATTCATAATCTTAATGAGGTCATGAAGTTAAAAGTAATAATTCACAAAATTTAAGAATATTTTCATTAGTTATATCAACTACTTTCGTCGTCCAACAATAATTGTCGACTATACTAAAAATAGTTTTCAAACAATAATTGTTCAATTTAGAAAATAACAAGAAATTTTGCCTTTTGTATCTATTTTATTCTTCCTATTAAATACTCTCTTCGTTTAAAAATATGGTCTAGTTTGACTTAACACGAAGTTTAAGAAAGTAAAGAAGACTTTTGAATCTTGTGGTCCAAACTTAATGTTATGTCAAATGTACAAAAGTGCATTTTAATCTTGTGGCCTTAAACATGTCACGTGAAAAACTGAATTTAAAATGTTATCAAGAAAAAGAAAGAGCTCATTCTTTTTTAAACTGACCAAAAAAGAAATGAGATCATTTTTTTTGAAACAGAAGGAATGTTATTTATCATGTAACACATTTTTCAATATATTAAATTTACTAAAGTTAAAAATATATTGTCATTATTATTTATTGTTTCCTAAGTCAAAATTGAACAAATATTATTGGACAAAAGAGTACATTTGAATGTTTTGAGAGTTTAGAGAGCAACAAGCCAACAAACCAAAAGAGGGCAACGACCGGTATGGCCCACTGTCTTCTTCTTCTTCCTCCTTCCCGTACCGTTTCTTCCTCTTGCGATAAAAAACACACACATCGCTTTTCTCTTTACACATCACAATAATATTCCATACCTTTTCCCACTTACACCAAATGTCCACCACCATCGCAACTCCGCCGCAGCGTCACCACACTTTTTGGTGCCACGAATGCGACATGAGCGTCTTCCTCCTTCACCCACCCCCGAATAATCCTCGCTGCCCTCACTGCCATTCCGATTTCCTCGAACATATGGACTCTTTTACCCCTACCATTCTTCCCCAATTTCCGAATCACCCTAACCCTACCTCTGACATTGAAACCCCCACCACTTTTACTCCCTCTGACGACAACTTCCTCCTCAATAGTCCTTATCTCCACCGTCTAATTCGCCATCTCACCACCACTAATGACGCTCCTACCCCCAATCTTCACAACAATTCCGCGTCCAGATCAGCTGTGGCGGCACTTGAACTACTTCAAATTACCTCTTCCATGCTTGAGAATGATCCGGTTATTCTTTGTGCGGTCTGCAAAGACCAGTTTTTACTCGACATGCAAGTTAAAATGTTGCCTTGCAAACACATGTATCATTCTGATTGTATTTTACCATGGTTAGAAATGAATAATTCATGTCCAGTTTGTAGGTTCCAGTTACCTACGGAGGAAGACGAGGTTTGCCGTAGACGTCAGGATTTTGTTGCAGCAATGAGATTGGAAGAGTTTCTGGGTGAGCAAGAGGATTTGTTTGGGTTTAGGCGCACACTTAGACGTGTTGCCAGGAGGCATCAGCTTGACAGGGAGGATACCACTAGGGGTGACAGTTTGGAGTTTCTGCTCTCCCCTACTCAGATTGGCCAGACCGGTCAAGGAGATGGAGTTGTTGCGAGAGCTAATAGTGTGGAGACCGTATCAAGTTGGCCGAATTGGCCACTCGAAAGTGGTAGTGAAGATGAAGTAGGTGGAAGTGGTAACACATTTGGTAATTAATGAGATCCGGTTGTCAGGTCTTTAAGCAGTGTTAAGGTATGCTATTGTTTTTTTCAGACTTATTACTTATGTGGCTTCACTGTGCAATGTTGCTCTAAGTTCTATGTCAGTTTTTCTTATTGTGAACTTGATTTATGTGGATTCTCTTTGTTTTCTTATTGGTTATGATTACTATATCTTGCAATCAATCTGCCGTAAATGACTTCTAGCCTATGTGGACAGATGAAGTACTTGCATTTTCTGCTTCTTAATATGGGCATCTTTTGGCCCATTTGGCGCACATAGGTAAGTGAGACATATTTTTACGATGTTCCAATTGTGCGTCAACTCTACATCTATGGTTGATTATATTTATAGTATTCGAGGATGCAACATTTCTATCCTTTGATGAAGAGGACCTATGAATAATGGAAGCGACAGAAAGTTGGTATATGGGCGATAACATGTAATTTGAAACTAACCTACCAAAGGTGAGTAGCGTGGCATGTATAATCAGGAAACCAAAGGAAGTGGTTAAGTACCATTTTTTTGTTCAGATAAATTTACCTTCATCCATGTAGGGGATATAAATGGATTATAGTTAGGACTGCATGCATTTCAAATTTTCTCTAGGCAACATGTTTTCTTGAAGTAAATACAGGTGCAATAGGGACTTACAATAGCTATGGGTTGTAAATTCATAAGCTGTCGTTTTGTAAGTTGTGGAAATATCCATTTCCTACTCTCTTAAGTATGTAGTGCTCTTACTTTGTGAGAGCTTGTATTTTGAAATACTAATTCAACCTTAAGTACAGTAATAAGTGTTGAAATTCAAGATAACTATTGTTTTTAGTGTTAGAATATATTTATGTTAGTAATACATTCTTATGTTTGTAGCATAAAAAGGAGTTGTGGTAATTAGGGAAGTTTCATTAGTCTAATCTTTCCTTACTCTCTATAGTCTGAAATTTCCTTATATTCATACAGTTAAGCCATTATATAAGAAGCCATGTTATATGTTATCATTTCAATTTAAACAAGAGTTTCTCTCTTTTTTTATTGGTAGAAGTATTGAATTAAAGTGCAGCAAACTGCTGCAAAGTATATACATTGGAAAGCCTCATTACAGAATGCCTCTACATCATTTGCAATTGCCATGTTACACCAATAAAACAGTAAATAAATGCATCTGTTCTTAATGCCGATGACAGATTCCTTTCTGCTCTAAAAAATTCTTGTGTTCCTTTGTTTACGGATGATCCATGAGATGGTGACAGACTTCATATTCCATATCTTTTGCTTTTCCTTCCCATCCCTTTTAAGCCCCAAGATTTTAGGAGCTAAGTAGTTGTAATAAGCATTAATTAGCTAACCACTCTAATGTTCAGAATGTAATGCCAGAAGATGCTTGATATCCTCATTCTGCCTTCGATATAAAGGACATCTGTTGCTGATATTGATCCCCTTTTCTGAAGGTTGTTTTTAGTAAGGCAAGTGTGCCACCAACCATGTCAAACAGTCCACCTTTAGGCGTGCTCTGTTTTCCCAGATGGTTTTCCATGGCCAATTAGAAAAGCTATCAGTTTACATTTTTTAATTGCTGGGAATATATTCCAACTTTTCTGGTCTATATCAGTGTCTATGATATGGGAAAAGACCTTAAAGCCTCCATGTGACACTGCTTGTCAAGTCAAACATTTGTTTCATGTCATAATATTACTTTTCATGCCTCTCAGGTGTCCATTCTAGCAGCAATATTATTCTGTACATAATATGGTCTATTAAGTCAACTTCATTTTCAAGAATCTCTTTCTGCACAACTTCTTTGTTAATTTTGCTTTTTCATGGTATTAGATTTTTGGGTATTGATCCCCTCCTTAACATTTGAATTTTCAGTAACTGTTCCGGAAATGTCTTATTCTCTGGTCTGTCATAATGGGTGTATTTCCAGTTATTGTTTGGACTCAATTTTCAATTACTCTTCAAACACCAATTCAAGTTCCTACAAACAGTTGCATCTCTATACTTATTTTGATGCCTGAGATTGAGAATAGGGTCCACTCTTTGTGGTGCTGTGAAAAATACTTTTTTTTAATGTACCCACCTCCCTAAAGCTCATAGCTGATGCTGAGCTATAGCAGGTAGAATTCTTTTGCATCCTATCCTAGATCTAATCCAAATTCATTTTTTGCTCCTTTACAAGAACAAAAGAATATTACTTGAGGGTCGTTTTGTAACTCGTTAGACTTTTGCAAGCATTAATAATATATGGATTAGTTATGAGAAAATTAATGTATTATTTTATGCTAGAGTTATAGGATTGAGTTATTCATTAATTAGTTATTCCACCTTCTCTTCGGCATAAAATAATATGTAAATTCCCTCCTAATCAATGTTATCAAAGGCGAGCTCTAAGTTTCGTGGGGGCTTTGATCGCAAAGCGCAAATAAAGTGCGGGCTTTATGAAAAAAGACGCAAAGGCAGAAAAGAACACAAATATATATGTTTAGTCCAAGACTAATAATTATAAACATGAATGACAAATATATAACCAAAAAAAATAGAAAAAAAATTATTATAAAGTGAAATATCAATTATTTAGTTTTAGTTCTTCATAAGAGGCTCATGAAATATCAATTATTTAGTTTTAGTTCTTCATAGGAGGCTCATTGGGAAGAAAATGTTTGCCTTGTAACCTTGATGACGACACTGAAATGCTCAACCCGTTTTGAGCCTCGCTTCAGAGCTTAAGCACGCTTTAAGTGTCCCTTTGATATCACTACTCACAACTTATACATGTATTAGTTATGCAGGTTTCTAAATTGTAAGCCAAAAATCATATTAATTTTTATATAAATAACTTACCTCCTTACTAACAACCAACCATGGTATTATTTTTGCTGGATTTAACACCTTCATAAATCACCTCTTTAACCAGTTATCAAACGACCCCTTAGTGTTGAAAGCTAAACTTTTCATAAAGAGTTACGTCTTCACGAGTATAAATGCACCAAGGGGGTGTTACATTTTCTTAACACAAAGTGTTATCAAAGAAGTCCACGAAACTCAAGGATCTTCTAATCCATTTACATTACCTGGTCAGTGTTATTAGAAGTCATTGTTTTATCGCTTGAAGCGATACAAAGCGAGGGTAATCATTTCATTGGTGGAGATATGCGCTTCAGTCAAGTGTGTGCTTCAAACGATGTCTCATGAAGAACTCTAAACATAAAATGCTTATTTCATTGGGTCTGCGCATTGAGTTTGATAAATGGCTTTATTGAATATTGGATGTAATTAGTTATTTAAATTGCAATTTGATTATTATAGTACTAAATTCATATGCACTTTCATAGGAGTTGGGGTTATCTCTGTGCGTATCCAAAGGGTAGCGGTTGCGGGCTTCTCTTGTCATAATAAAATTAAATTCATTTGTGCTTTTTTTTTCCCAATTGTGCGCTTCACTTCTCTTTTTTCTCTTCAAGTCTAAGGACCTTATCTCTTATGCTTTTTACTTTTTAACGACACTCTATTTACCAAAAAAAGAAAAAAAGAATACGACTCTTGAAAAGCTGTGTTTAACTCAATGGATTAGAAATCATGAAATGGTGACCAATTATAATTGAGGATCACATATAAATTATAATTTTGCACTTTTTAAAATAAACTAGATATGATTTCTAGATACGTTATTAAGTCAAAAGATTAATTAGGTTTGTGAGAAATATCGAAAAAAAATATTATTGAATTGTTGTTGTGTCTACATTATTACATTGAGACCCTATTTATAGACGCTACAATAGAATCTTTACCAAGTAGGATACTATTTGCTGATCCTTTTTCTATTTCTCCTATTCTAAATAGGTTTGTATAAACCTCTTCCTATTCTAATAAGATCGTATAAACCTATTCTTATTCTAATAGATTGTATATACCTATTCATGTTCTAACATTTCCCACAAGCTAGTGTATACAATTTAAGTACTTAGCTTGTTACATATGTAATTAATACGAGGACCGATAAGGGGCTGGGTGAGATTCTTGTAAGTTGATCAGTCGACTTCAAAAAATTGACAATCAATCTCAATGTGCTTGTCTTCTCATTCAATATTGGATATATGCATATTGCCAGTCAATCTCAGTGTGCTTAATTTTCTCATGACATACTAAGTTTGATGCATAATGTTGATAAACCACATAGTGATAAGATTACAGTGTTGAACTTCCCAAACCAAACTTGCAAAGACTGTTTCAAAGCATAGAGTGACTTATGTTGCGCCCAAATGCACACACAAGCGTATGAAGTCGTGCAAGTATTAAAGTAGCTCTTTTGAAGAGTCGGGTTTCGTATCCACAAGGACTTAAGATTAGACGTATTCAATTCTTCCAACAATCAAAATTTAAAGCAAGTGTTATCAAGAAAAGTGATGGGATTTCGAATGATTTATTTATCCAATTATTGAAGTAAACTTCTAGGATATGATTTCAATTGGATTTCAAACAATGACTTTAGGCATTTTAGGATTGCAACCTGTTATGGATTCATGCAAATTATTTCATTTAGTAGATGTCAATAGATTATTGAATAATTATTTCAGAGTTAAATGTATGATCATGGTATCATGGTCTCTCGATCTCTATTCGCCTACGATAATTAGCAGCCTAACTACATCATTGAGCAGAGATAAATTATTGAACCAATTATTGAGCATTATGATTTTGTCCGTCTATTAACCAAGCGAGGTTTCTAGGTATATCCCTATCCTAGATACAAATCAACCCTTAACTTAGAGAAGATCATGCACCTTTTGCCCCACGTTTAATCCCTTTATTCCTCTCTCGAGTTTCAATCGGACAAGAATTTCTTTCAATGGTGGCCAATCACAAAATATTTATGTAAGAACAAAAGAGAGATTCATATAATAATCATAATCAATCCATTAAAATCAATAAAATACAATTATCCTATAGCCACAACCCTAGAGCTAGGGAATTTGCTACTCATAATATGATTCTCAATTTCACAATGTTCAATTAACATAAAAGAGATTGAATGGAGTATAATTTAGGAATAAACCCTAAGAACAAATGAAACATCTCCCATAGTCTTGGTTCTTCCAAACCCAGAAGAAGAATAACTACTAAAATACAATCTGAGTCTCTTTATAATTTAGGGAAAAAGCCAAAAACAAATTGGACCTCTTCCCTGTGTGGAGACGCCTTTTAGTTTCACCTTTAAATGACAATATGGGGAAAATAAATAGTTCTCTCTACGCGATGCGGAGAAGGTGCACTGTCTCATTTTT